AGCTCTCTGACTAGTTTGACCACGTGCTATAATAGTACTTTATCAAAATTAAAAGAATGAAAAAAACTTGGATCTACCAGATGCTTGAATCATGACAGTGCCTTCGTGGTCAAGTGGTTATGACGTTCGCCATGTATGCGAAAGATTCCAGTCCCCGTGGAGGATGAGTTTTTTCTTTCTTTGTCAGATTCCTCTTCTGTTTAGTTTATCCAATTATTGTTCTTAATTATAATTTTAAACAATAAAATACCAAATGACATAGAATATGTAATAACAACTTAAATAGAATTGAAATTCATTTTGTACCTTAACACACATCATATCATATCTTTGTATAATTTGTTGAACATTGATTATAAATAAAGTAATATTTATATTAAATTTGATAATGTTTGTTACTATTGTTTGTAGATACAATAAAAGAAAAGGTACCACCACCATGTCTTTCCAGGCCACGTGTATTGATGGATTTTTATCTGACAGACTGTGTAGTTACCATGTACCATTGCCAGTGTGGAATAGCAGCCTCCCTCCAATCCCAGACAATTGTAAGTAGCCCTATCAGAATCTCTTACTATATATATTTGACTATCTCTATAATCTCACTATCTGCTACAGTTTTAGACTGGAGGTCATGGGTGTATGCAAGGGGGGTCGGGAAGGTTGTACGACTTCCCCCCGCCCCAAGATTTTAAAAGGTCCACATTTTTTTCCAGGGCCTTTTCAGAATGACATAAATGAAAAAGCATTGATGAGGTACCAGCAATGAGTCCAAAGACCTTGCCAATTTCCTGTTGTAATATATCTCAATTCCAGCAATTTAAAAAAAAAAATGTATTTGTGCTGTTCATTGTGAAAAGGTCCAAAAATTTATGATCACGACCCACCCAGAAAAAATCCTGGGTACACTCCTGGAGGTAGCTGCCAAATTTTGTTCTTACACTAGCAAGCCATGTCAGTGATCATGATGATTAGGCAGGGACGTAGCCAGGATTTTGAAAGGGGGGGGAGCCGTTATGCGAATTACGTATGACCCCGGCGGGGTCAAGGGGCGAATCCCCCTGTGAAGTAGCGCACTCTGAACGCTCTTAGGACTGTTTGAGAGGATAAAGTGAAAATTGCAATAGACGCATTATAAATAAACGAAAAAATAATTATATAATATTTATTATATAATTATTTTTTCGCTTTAAAATCAACAGTTGCAGATCCAGGAATTCGAAAGAAAAAAAAAAAAAAAATAAATAGGTCAATTTGAAAGGGTTTTTTTTTGGAAATTTCAAATTATTCTTTTATCGTAATACACCAGCAGTCTGGTCACATCATCCGTTTAACAGTCATATTCAACTTTGGTTACCAATGTAATTGATCACAATACAAAAGCAAAAAAATACAAAACTAAACGTTTTAAACGTTTTGTCTCTTTGACCTAATACTGTCAACTGGGCAAGGGAAAATGGATCTCATTCATGCTGTCAATATTAGAGACAGGTTCAGAGGTATGATTGCCAGCGTCAGAGTCTCTGACAAGGTATTTGAAGAAGAATAACGCTAAGAATGCTGTTGACAAAACACATTGATCAAAGCAAAAGACAGACAGAACTTGTGGCACAGAGAGTCCTGACTTGCATTATTTGTAGGGCAATCAAAAAGTATTTTAATGAGCACTGTTCTTTGGTTAACTAAATTTTAATTATCATGTAATATTGTAGGATTGTTATGAGTAGTGGATATCAAGAATTCGAAATGAGGTGGGGAAGTGGAAAACGGGGGTGTAATATAATTAGTATAATTTTTTTTTTCCCACATTTTTAATAATATTGAAAAATTTGGGGGGTGGCGAGGTAGGCCGGCTGCCCCTTCCCCCTTGAATCCAGCATTGGTTTGACTATTAAAAACAATATTGCAAAGTTGCAAAACGTATTGCAAAGTAACCTAAGTTTAGTTGTGTTAACCGCTATGATTTAACATTGGGCTTCTTATGAGTCTCAAATCATGCATCATACTGTATCAGGACTGCAATCATTACAATTTTAACATGTCATCAATTATTCCTTCCACTTTGTGTATGATGGCAGTGACCATGGAGACAAGAATAATAGAATTCTGTAACATTAATGATTACCCATTGAGGCATATTGTCACTGCATAGAAGTTGCGATATTGAGAAACATGTTGATGAAGGATGTTAATTAAGCGCACGTTTCTACAAGATTAAACTAGCTTTCGGTTTATAGTTGTGAAAGCAGTATGGTATCATAAACCTGGTAAATGGTTTATCTTATAGAGTGCCTGATACAGTACTATCTGAAGTTTATCAACTTTTAAAACAGTATTCAATATTTTAATTATTACTTTTCTATACACTGCTTTGATGTCACATAATTTATGACTGTTAATTAGCCTATTTAAAAAAATATGTGATGCCCAGAAAAGGTAAAACATATGTCTAAGTCCAGGCAAAGGAAAATTAAGAAAGAGTAGATTGATACGATTGATATTGTGTTTAAAAGGTTGAATATTACAGGAAGCAAGAAAAACACACAATTTGGAGGTTTATTCCAAATGACAGAAGTCCTGGGAATGAATGAGTTGGAGGGAAATAAAGTACAGAAAGTGGGTGTAGAAATGAAGTATTTGTGAACACGTGCAGAAGCTCGTGTTGACCTTTAAGAGACGTGGAGGGGAGGGATATTGGCATAGCAAACACCAAAACTACTACAGTATATTAAATTTAATATAAACCTATGTGATGTTAAATAGTTTCTAAAAGCTTATCCAAACAAATAAAGTTAGCAAGAGAGATACTTTTTAGTGCATTACTTTAAGAATGATTGAACAGTATATGATTGATACTATTTTTATTTGCAATTGTACTACAATAACACAAAAAGTTTTTAAAGGCTAGGCACATCATAGCTCAGTGTTGGCGCCAGGATTTGCTTGATGGGGCCGAGTTATCTGAAGGGCATTTTGACAATTTTGGACAGAATCCAATGGCGAAGCACTGGTTGGGTCGAAGGAGTTAAGCCGCTGGTGCTCAAAGAAAGACATCATAACTGGCCTAATCCTCAGGGAATTGCAGTCTTTTCTGGAGTAGCAAGACTAATTTTGCATTAAAATAGTACCAGCTCAATTGTCAATAGACTTGTATGAATGGCAAGTATGTTATACAATATTGACTAAGTTCCACTTGTTAAAAGTAGGGAATACAAGCAGTCAATACATACGCAACACAAATGGTGCTTCAGTGTTTATCATTTTTTAATCTGTAGAAGGAAGGAAAGACAGGAACAGCAGCAGATGCATGTTGTTTGCCGGTGGATTTGGGTGTAGTTCCAATTGAGAATCTATTATCAAAGCGGAAGGGTTTATGTACCCTAAGCTATTGCAGGGGTTCAGACATGTTTTTAAAGTCTTACTTAATTTCATTCCTCCTTAAATATCTTTTCTGTTGGAGGGGGTGAGAGGATGATTTTAGTCCTATTAAGAGTCTAAGGCTTCTTGGTTTGACCCATCTGTCAGACTTTTTGGACTTGAGCCTTTCAACACATTTATGTTCAAGGCAGCGTATTTTTCAGTACATATGAACATTCAAGTATGTACAGTACTACACAAACAATGCTTCAGTGTATACTAAAAAGAAAAGAATACAGGTACTTCCTTGTACCGGCCCAGTTACTGTATAAGGAAGTAATTGGCGAAAAACTTTACAAACAATGACATAGTACATTATTATATATTTTTGTTGACCCCTGACATTTTAAAACGATTCATACATGCCTGCATTTGACTTTATGCAGAATCATTCTAAAAAAAAAAACAGGTAAAAGTCATCTTGCTGTGAGGTAGATAGATTAATAAGGTATTAATGAAATGCAAAATAGTTTTTGGGTGATTCAAACAATACTATTATAAACTGTTTTATATACATATTTATAATTGTTCAGTAAAAGATACCAAAGTATATGTATATACTTAATTATAAAAATAAAATAAAAGTAAGTGTTTTAGTTTGATAGGTCTTATTATTATAGGAACCAGATCTTTTTTTTTTTCAATGAATTGATTGATAGATTTGTGTGGCAGTCTTTCTAATGTGCACTTCACACAAGGAAGTAAGTTTTGGTGTTGGAATTCTAATCATATCCAGCAGTCAAGAATTTTGTTAACATCACAGATTATCTAGTGACAAAATTTGGTGTATTCTAGCACTCTTGAACTGTAAATCTTTACAACCATTAAATGTCTATAACACTTCATTTTTTATAAAGACCAGTCAAATTTTGCCAGAGACTCGATTTTCTTATTTTTTGGGCCAATTTCATGCTCAAAATGTTCTTATTTTCTTCTTATTTTACACACTTTTCAAAGATAGAAAATTATTATTGTAGCTGAACATTACTGTATTGTGTGTATAGAGGGTATTACATAGGTAAAATATGTAATTTATAGCACTCCATACTGAAGCGGTCTCAAATTGCACAAGGTGTGGTCTAGCTCTTACAGTATCTTGCTTCCACCCTAAGGGTCTCTTCGTGTCTGAGCTACCCGGTAAACCAGTACCAGCTTCTCTCCTACCTTTACCATTTACCTGTACCAGTACACCGTGGTAACCCCCTACTTGTCTCAAAAGATGTACTGGGTTTCTTTTAAGTGCGCACAAGCCAAATTGTGCACACTGGGCCTACGGTTTAAAGTCATTAACTGAGAAGACTTGTTCCGCCACCAGAACAGTAGGCAAGCATGCCGTTTAAACCAGTGCTGATATTAAATAGCTGTAGCTAGCGGCACCTCTGCCTTCCAATATTACCTTTTTACACATCAGTACTTTACTTATGTAACTGGCTTTATTTGTTGGTGTTTTTAGATAAATTTAATAAATTTGTAATAAAAACTTCATTTGACATTTTAGCTCTGCCTCGATTTGTTCTTATTTCTTAAACTATTTCGGTGTCAGTGTTCTTATAAAATGTGTTCTTTATTTTTAAAAAAATGTTGTAGACTTAAGGCTCTATGTGTTCAACATCTATTATACAGTTGTTGTACATATATATGTGATTAAGATCTTATTTTGTATTATTCATTCAGAAGTCATGACAACAGTAGAAAACTTATTTGTATTAATGTACACATTTCAGATACAACTACTATATTTAGGCCTACTTCTGAGGAATCAACTACCATTGTTACTGGAGGTAAAAACGCAAACACTTTTGAGATATATGTGTATAATGCATGTTTTGCAAATCGGGAGGTATTAGCAACTTGTAGTGGGCCACCTCAATTATAGCAGTAGTCAAAATATTCAGTTTATATATTTAAAAACTGAAATGTTGTGTTTGCTAATAACCAAAAATTAATATTACTATAATTATAAGACAGAATTATATATAACATACATGTATGCACATTTCAGGTAGGACTACACTAACCACTGTTTACCCTACCACTACAGACTTGGGCACAGATCTACCAAACACTATTATTAGTAAAGGTACAGCTGTATTTTTAGTATTAGAGTATATTGGCCACTCCCATTTATGCAGTGGTCAAAATAGTCAGTTTTTATATACCTAACAACTACTAACATTGTTTGTTTGCCAATAACCAAGAATTTATTTAATATAACAAAATTATATACAGTATAAATAAGTACATGTATGTACATTTCAGGTGGGACTATATTCACAGACTTGGCCACTACTGAAGGTACAGATATGACTTAACATGATTATTTTAGTTTTTTAACGCCATTTATGCTCCTGTTTATAATAATAACAATAATGATAATAATATTAATAATAATAGTATGCGCTTAGTCGGATTTAAGGGGAATATTTTTTGTGTTATTTTCCCCTTAACTTCACTTTTTTAATTTCTAATTTCTCCATTGTCTAAGTTCCCCTTAAGGTAGGTTTTAGTAACATAATAATAATAATAATAATAATAATAATAATAATAATAATAATAATAATGCCCTCTCCCAATCCTCAACAAAAAGCTTTTAATTTTTAAGCCAAACTCAACTGCTCACTCTAGTATTAATATCAGAATTCTACATTAAATTATTCTTTTGGTTATTAATATTAGAATTCTGTTCTATTTATTCTTTTGGTTTGGTGGTAAATTGCAGTACAATTCCATATAATAATAATAATAATAATATAATAATAATAATTATGGCCTATTAATAATACTAATAATAATAATAATAATATAATAATAATAAAATAATAAAAATAATAATTAATAATAATAATAATAAAACTGTATTTATATAGCGCCCAATGGATCACAGATCCCTCTAAGTGCTACATAATCTTAAACTATGGTGGAAAACTCTCCTCCGCCGGACACTACCCGGTATTTCCAAGTCTAGGTTTCAAGGCAAGGAATTATGCGGTTTGGCTTAATTGCATTTACTTAACTACAATATGGTAAAAACTATCCCCTGCCAGACACCAACCCGATATTTCTAAATCTAGGTTGCAGCCCAAGGAATTGCAAGGTTGGGCTTAGCTACATTTACTTTAACTACAATACCATCACTGTTGACCAGCTTTGACAGACATAGGCACAAAAAATATCTGCACCCCTCTCCCCCTTGCATCTGCCCCAAATTTGTATACCTCCATATGGTAAAAACATGAATTTGTCTGTAGTGTCATTTAAGTGTATAAATTGTGTCAATATCTGTTATAAACTCAAAACATGTGCATATTTCAGATTATAATATCACAACTAACGCAACAATAACTCCTACTGTACCAATATGTAATGATATGAAAGGTAAATAGAAATTCAAATTTGCATTTATTTTTATTTATATTTTACATTATATTTATATATATTATATATATACACTACTCCTAACTAACTCATAGGGTGAAAAATCCTTTGTCTACATTTCGCCTTAATGTTGTTTAATATTTCCCCTTAGCGGCAGTATTTTCGTCTTGAGGTATTATTTCTAACCCTCTCCATTGTTAAGGTTTCCCCCTATGGTAGTATATAGTCGTGTATATATATATATATATATATGTATATATATATATGTATGTATGTCTGTATATATATTCGAGAGCAGCTTAGCCCAGTTGGCTAAAGTGGTGGTAACCCTTGTGTGTGCGCTGAACCGTGGAGATCTCCGGTCCCCGGTTCAATTCCCATCGCTGCTCTCCTTGTGTTTCTGCTGGAGGACTGAAATACAAGTTACAGTAGGGCACTGTCTTTTGGATGGGACATTTAAGCTGTGTGCAAAATGGACTATGTGCACGTTAAAGAAAGCAATTACGCTCTTTGGAAAAAATTTGGGGATTGTCTCCAGGTTTACTGCTCAATTCACCACCAGAAGGACCCCACTATGTGTGAGTGTTTCAGTCAGTTGTATGAGAGAAAGTTCCTGGACAGTTCGCACAATATCCTATAAGTCTCTGTGGTCTGATACTTGCCTTGACAGTGAGAGGCTGTAAAACTGAAATAAAAAGAAACTTGTCGTTGATGAGCTGTGTTTGATAGAGTTACATGTTCCTATTCGAGCACTGTTATTATTTATCTACTTACTATATAATTCAGAACATGCAGTAAAACACAGCTTTAAGTTGTTTACTTAGTATGAAGCAATATAACACAGTTGAACTTGCCCAAGTCGAAACAAAAATGGCATTGAAAAATTGTTCATCTATGGTTATTAACTAATTGTTAAATTATTTGAGTTAGGCAATGTCAAGTTTTACTGTATACACAAATATTTGTGCTTTAATAAATTTGCTTCATGTCTACAGCCAAAAGCCAGCCATCTGTCTGGCATAAATGTTGTTTTCCAGTATTTTCTCAGTATTTAATATTCATCCATCCTCTAAAAAACTACCTCAAACTACTAATATTACTCTGATATAACAATATCATCACTCACTGCATTTCTATAAAAGTAATTTTAAAATATGCTTGTAGATATTTGTAGCTTTATGTGCAGTTATCTTCCAAAAAATATTTATTGTATTATTTCTTAAAACTTGATACCCTTGGGTTCGGGAAGGTTGACAGATAATACGTAGACTACTATCTGAATGACATCTGTAGTGTTATTTATACATATATGACAATTTCTTTTATAAAATCAAATGTGTACATATTTCAGGTGGTTGTATTCCCAAATTGAACCATATAATTGATGAAGTAGAAGGTAAAAATAGAATCAAAAGGTTGTAATCTGCCCTAGTAGAAATTTGATTTGATACCTTTTGATTTTATTTATTGTATTTGTTTTGTTTGTTTTTGGTTATTTTTGAGTTCACAGTAAATTTGTTGTAAAACACTGGTATGGTGGCAATATTATTTATTATTAACAGTATTGTAAAAGTAAATTCAATAACTCCAATCAAACACAAAACGTTCTTATAACCTTTGCGGATGTTGTAAGAAATTAACGTTCACCCAACGTTGTAAGAACATTCATGACGACATGAAATTACTTTATAAGTACGTAATTATGCTTCTGCAAAACACCAAACTGTAAGGTTACTGTAATGTTCTTATAATGTAATATTGTTAGTTGGGTTTACTACAAGTTGTTTCACACTTTGGATAGTATCAAAAATTTGATCAAATTCTCACCTACTGATTAATTGTGCCAAATGGTGAATGCTTTTTTAAGGGATGAATTTTATATTTATGTCATATGGTTTTCTCTACCAGTGGTAGCTAAATGTTGCTTTGACTATAAGAAGGTACTGCTACTTTATGTTACCTTCCTGATGTGGTGATCATGTTGCTATTAAATACAACTTGTTAAATTTGGAAAAATATTGCATTGTAAAATAGATATAAGAAGGTATGTTGCTAGCTCCCTGCTGCTATGTTACTTTATTGATGTCATTATTGATGTTAATGCAAATTGTTACATTTGGAAAACTATTGCATTGTTGAAGTGGATATAAGAAGGGTATGTTGCTAGCTCCCTGCTGCTATGAAAATGTGGTGGTTGTTGCTGTTTTATAAAAAAAAAAATATAATGCACTGTGTGAGTGGGGACTATAGATTAGTAACGATAATGAAATGATATTAAATTTATATTTAATATATTTTTTCCCCATTTATAAAGGGAAATAGCAACTCTGCTAAAATCTGCTCAAATTACTCTTGTCATACAGGGGTTTGTCAAAATCAAATAAAAAAATTAGTACAATAGTTATGTTAATCATTCGATGAGAATGGTGGAACATATCATTGTTTACACACTGCATTTACCGTATCGTATATATTGAATTTTGCTTTTCTTGGCCAAGATCCAACTTTAAATTTATTGTACTACGACATACTATATCTGCCAAACCAACTATGAATTCCAAGTAAATTACTGTTACGGTTCACCTCAATCAAGAATATGTTATTTTATTAAGTTTGGAAATACAAACCAGCCACATAAAGTTAAGATGTAGCATCATTTTTTTAAAGGAAATATTTTTTGTTTTTATTATTATTTTAAGTGGAAATTGTTAAAAAAAATGATATTAATCATTTATTACTATATGTATTGGTGATTTATATGTATGGTTCTAACATTATAAATTATATTTTTTCAAGAATAAGCTGAAATTCAAATTACTAATTGGTCATCATGGTAAAACTGGGCCCAGTTGAATAAATAAATTACATTATGATATCAATTTGGCAAAAGACCTGTAAAAACAACAATAAGAACGTTGAAGATGAATTAAGGATAAACCAAGTTTGATCATCTTTGAAATGTCACTGTATATTTTGGTATAGCTTTAAACATTTTTAGATTTGTTATTCTTATTACCTCCACCAAGGAAATGTATGTATTCAATGCTGTCTGTTTTTCTGTCTGTCTCTTAGCAAGAGTAGTATGCAGAAAATCATGCATGGTTCATCATAAAATTAGTGGAATGGTAAATAATAATCAAAGAAAGACACCTTTCAATTTTCGGAAAATGTCAAAAGACCGAAGTTCAATTTTTAACTCTCAAGCGTAACAGCAAATAATGGAATTTCCCCACATATTCAAGCAACACTCAAGGAAACAATGTGCCTGAATACGATGGGCAATTCTATTATTTTATTGAGGGATATAGGCTACAGCACTTCAGAATATAATGTGCCTGAATACAATGGGTCAGTTCCATTATTTCATTGAGGGTATGCTGCAGTTTCACCGATTGTATTCAGGCACAGGATGGAGGTATGCCCTATGTAGTTACTGCTCTTTATTATTTTTATGTTTGTTTGATGTTTTATATTCATTTTTACCATAGTAACTGCTAGTGGGACACATGCAATGCTAATATATTAACTATTTGCACCGCTTTTTGCAGCCTGTGATGCTTAACTACATACTAAATTATATCATGAAGGGCTAAAGTAGTTAAATCCACATCAGAGTTACGTCCATAATTAAATTTGTGTGATTTGATTTGTATAACATAATATGGTCATGGTGAAATCATATCACGCCCATATATGGGCAATGATATGATGATACAGGATGAGGAGATATTTTTCAAATAAAGCTTGATAATTTGGACATAGCTTTATATACAATGTACAACATAAAATTCTCATATCAGTAAGTTCAACTATTTTAATTAACTCTTCACTTCACAGATGGCTCCTTTAGAATGTGCTATTGGTATTGCTGTTTTAGTTTCAGTTTAGTTTTGTACAAATAATCTCTGAAGCAGGGGCAGCGCTAGCCTAGGAGGGGAAAGGACCCCCATCGGGGACCTCTTGACCCCGCTTGGACTCCCTGTTGGGGAATTTGCAGCAAGGTCGTATCGTATGGGTTGCATGCACCAGCTCTTCCCCAACAAGGGGACTGGTACCTCCGACAGGGGGAACTAGTACCCCCGACTTCCATGTTTTTCCATCAATTATTTTTATATAAAGAACCCCATAATTAACACAAAATCCTATTATTTTTTAATATAAAAAAAATTCCCCGACAAATTTAATTGTTTTCCCGACTGGGGAAGGAGGGTTAGGCTTCCCCGATGATTCCGTCCCAAGGTTCGTTTGTGGATCCCCTTGTTGGGGGCTTGGACCTCTTGTCAGGGAATTTCTGATGCCGCCCCTGCTCTAAAGGGGTGGTCTGTCCTGTATATAAAAGAAGTTTTGTTTAGATTTCTATTCTAGCTACAGCTGCAAGTCTAACTTTTATTTGTTTGTTTAAGGTACTGAACATTATAAGTGGATAATACCCCTTGTGTGTATCTTCATCCTCTGCATCATCTGCATTAAGTTCAGGCAAGTTATAATCATCCAGTTCACTTATTAAACTTTTCACAGATGTAGAGTATATTTTTTGAAAATTCTAGTTTAAGCATTGCCGGTTTACCATCCAAATTTATTTTTGTTATAACCCCAGGTCCAGAGTGGGACCAGGCAGGCCTGCAGGCCTACCCTATTGGGACTAGTTGTTATATTGTATATCAACCCTCCTTATCTTAACTTGTGATTTTTCTCTGCTGATTCTTGTGTTTGTCCTCCTGTCTATTGTTCTCGTCCTGTCACCTGTCTGTGTTTTGTCTTTATTTCCCTTGCTTGTCCTATTTTAAAGGCAAGACCTAGGGTTTCTGTTTTGCTCCTTTCTTTGCCTTTTTTGTGTTATAGGCCTATATATTTTATTATTGAGACTATTTTTATACTGATTTAATTTTAATGTTTTGGCGAATAAAGTGATTTTACTACCTTTGTGTGTCGTTTTTTTAGGATATTTGAAATTCTTTACTAGTGCTCTAACGCTACGTTCCACAACTCATGGGTCACAACCCAATGATTGGGTGGTGTAAAAATGTTGATAGGTCAAGCAATCACTTGATAAAAAAAATTTCCAAAAAATTTCCTGTTCTGATTAATTTAAACAGGAGCCATTGCTAAATTTTTAGATAAAAGCTGAAAATGAGTATCCGGGCATCACAGAGGTCGTTCATGACAACATAGATGTGTGAGGCTGGATTTTCAATCCTTACATATTATTATCTTAAGTCCAAATATTGGAACAGACTGCAAAGAGTGACCCTATGTGCCAACATTAGGATTGCATTATCACTGCTCCAAAGCTGGATTGATGAACTTTCTGTCGAAAAGTCCACTATCACACTAACATGCTTATGAATTAAATTTGATAACAGCTTTTGGTGTGACATACGTCATTGTACAATGTACTGTACACTTTTTTCAAAGTTATAGTAATTCCAAAGAAATATGGTACAAAATAACATTGTTGGTATTTACAAAACTCCTTGAAACTAATAACTTTGTAAAGAATCGCTTTATGTTCCAATAAATATTGCATTTATATTCCTTTTTAAATAAAGTTTTAAGCAGTACTTGGTGTGCTAGTGTCATTTATCTATGTAAATGTGTTTCTGAACGTGATTCCAGTGAACACCTCTATCTCTCGTACATGGTCAAAATGTAAATGTGCATCCTCGAATCTGAAGCAAAGTAACAACATATGGGTATTATTGTCGTACTTTAATTGATAAATTCTTCCATTATTAAAGACAAAATGACAAAATTAAATGATGTAAGGAAACATGGACTCAAGGTAGTGACTAAAAGGAGGCAAACCTGGTCACAATAAGATTTTAAGTTTGCCCGATATATTTCAGGATAATTTGGCCTGACTCAAGTCGACGGGTCATGGCTGAGTATTTGGATTTGGGTCGCAGACTGAAAGGTTTGAAAACAGGCTCTAATATAATAAATACATTTTTTTAAATAAATCAATTTTTTTTTTTGTTAATTTAAATATATGAAAATTTTACATCAGTAATTTTATAATGCTTCACATAGCATAGTAAATCTAACATACTGTTTTGTTCTTGATTTTCCTAAATTTTAGAGTGAAAATAAGAATAATAATAATTGGATGGTTTCCTCAAAAGCAAACAATCACCTTCAGAGAGGAAAAAAAAGTTAAAATGAGAGTAAGGGTAACAAGTATTGTACTTGAGCCAAAAACAAATTATGAAGATTGTCACACTGTTGTTATGGCTTCTACCGAAAAACTAAATGCAGGTAGGTGTCATATTAAATTATAATATATGTCATATATAGAAGATTTTTGTTTTGTAAATCATGTTTTACGATAATGAACAATGTAGCAAGTGGCGCAGCATGTAATGTAATGTGCTTCGATTTATATAGCGTTTTTCACCGCTGTCTCTAAGCGCTCGAGGTGTGGATTAGCTCATACGGTAACTCTGTTCTCCGCTAAGAGTCTCTTCGTGTCTGAGCTACCAAATCAACCGGTACCAGATATTAAAAACATTTAAAATGTGACCTAACAACAGCATGCCTAACAATACAGTATATTCAAAATTTGAATCATGTAATGAAACACGATGTAATCATAAATTCAATGTCAGTACAAAGGGTTATTCGCCAGCAGTTCAGAGTATAATGGGGATGCAGTTAAGCATAATAATTACCAATTTCTATGGCGACGGTGATGAAAAACAACATTAATTCATCCACCTGCTGATTAATTTTAGTGACTGAATAATCCCGTATTCTTGGAACAATAGAGAATAGTAATGTAAAAAATCAACTGGGTATAGTGCATAAAAAGTTTTTACCGGTGTACTTAGATTGTATTATCATTTATTCCTTTATTTTTTATTTAATTATTTGTTAATTATTATTATTTTAATATACATTTGCATATTTTCATTTAATATTTTTATTTATTTTATTTATTTGTTTATATTTGATTGTTAATTATATATTTTTATATATTTATTATTTAATTCATTCTTATTTATATATTTGTCATTTCCAGCTTTTTTTGGTTATTTTGTATTTATTTACTGTATTTGCTTATTATTTACTTCTTCAATTAAAGATAAAATACAGTTTATATGGTAAATGCATATTTTTTTTCCAAAGAAAAACAGAAACCATTACTTTTTGCCTCATGCTATGGAACCTTATTACTTTCTGTAGTCCGGTTAGGGAATTATAATCAATTTTGGTAATAACCTTTTAAATTGTGGTCAGTGACAGAACAAGCAGTGTAGATTTTATATGGATTAAAAGGATGAAATCTGTCTAAAAATACCACTGACAAAGTAAATGTGACAATACTCTAAATCTGAATAATAAAAATAAGTTGCACATTATGTTAACTAATGCAGGTTTTCATAAAGGTTTTAGGCATATAAATGGAAACTGGAATACTGTGTACAAGAGGTCATTGAAGAAAGTCTTAAACATCGACAAAAGAACCAATTCACAAAAGAGAAAAAAACACAAAGGAAAAAATTCCATATGATCACACAGTTCATTTTCAAAGCATTACTACAAAGTTCAAATTTACAAATAAAATTTTATTTTAATCTTCGCCGTCTGGATGTTTTTGGCAAAATCATTTGCTAAATAAGTAAACTTTTTAATTTTTATTTTTCTTTAGTAAAATAAGGTTGCTAAACCAGCTATTAAAATTTGCCTTATCAGATCAGTGAATTGGACGGATGCAGTGGTTAGGGAACTTTATAAAAATCATACCAGAAGAGGAAATTTGCCATCAAATTGATGGCACAGTTAGATCTGGGTTGATTTTACTAAAAATGATTAACTAATGGTTCTCTCAGTGTGCATGATTCATTTATACAGAAAGGCATTATATTACTTCAGTACTACTGCAATAGTTTATGTAGGTAAAGTGTAACAGACGTATTATTACCACAATTTTACCTGAACCTCTGTCTGAAAATGGCTTTAGTTTAATGTGCACGTACCATAAATTCTTGAATAAGCGGCGCTCTTGAATAAGCGCAGCACCAAACGTGATTTTTTTTTTTGCTAAGTGCCGCTCTCGAATTGAATGAATGAGAGCCTGTGTGCAATGAAACTCTTACACTAGGGTAATAAATGTATAAAGCGTTCAAATGAATAAATAACACAATGAAGACACAAGCATATCTTTATAAACGTTTATTTACGATGATGTAGGGTCTATGATAGACCTACCGAACTATTGGAATATGTGAGATAGGTAACATGGCAACAATGGAAAGCGCCACGCCATTATTTTTTTAATAAGCGCTGCTCTTGAATATACAATATATATGCCAACCAATATATATGCCAACAGAGGTATATGGGCAACCTCTTTTTCTGAAAGATGATTAAACTAATAACCTACTCTCACACAAACCAAAGCTCCATGGAGTAAATCATGGAAGACGAAGAAGGGGGAGGGGGCTGGTGGAGTGAATCGAGTCTCACTTGGCTGGGGGTCAGGGCGATCTTCCCCTGGAAGCCACGGATATTTGACGAATTATGGCTATGCTTCCCTGACGGGGGTATATCCCCAGTCCTCCCCCCCCCCTTGGCACCACCCCTGAGTAGGGGCCATGCACTGTGCAACACACCAAGCCTAGGGATGGGTTGTGGTAGTCCGTATACAGTAGTTGATTTTAAGGTGAAATCAATACAAGTACATAAATTACAGTCTTTTATAGAGGTACCTTGATTATGCAACACTTTCAATACTATATTCCTTTCTCTCTCTACCCAGTGACGGCTCTAGGATATATTTTCTGGGGGCTAAGCTGTCTGACAGGGGGACTTGAGAATGTATGCATGAGGGGGGAAGAGGATTGAAAGAAGGTTCCCCCTCCCATATGGGTTTTTTTTTTTAAGAATAGCAGCCTCTGGATGTCCAGAAATGGTACTCTCAGACTGTGACAGACATGTGTTGGATTGGTGTGGGCCTATTTATATATTTGTTATGGTCTGACTGTCCGACGGGGGCGGGGGACTTGACTTGATGGTGGGGGATTTGAGCCCTCTGTCCCCCGCCAGCGCCGCCACTGTTTCTTCCCTCCTTTCTTATCAACACTCTTTTTTCATCCTGGATCCGCCCCTGATATGCAAGTGTCACTCAGCAGCGCTAAGGTCTATTGTCATTTTGATAAGCAGTAAATGAGATATTTATCGTTTGTAACTATCTGAAAGGAATATAAAACCTTGTTGAATTTCTAGAAGTTTTTGCAATAAATTTGATATCTCTGTTCACTAAGAAATTAAAACAGTGCCAATGATCAACGTACCTGAAGGAAACAACAACTGTTTGAATACTGGCCAAGATGACGATCCCTCTTCCACGGAATTTGTAAATAAAGATAATTGTTCTGATAAAAATGAAGATGACAATCCTGCATCTAAGGAAACTGTAAAGAAAGAGAACTGTTCCAATAATGATGAAGATGACAATCACGCATCTATGGAAACTGTAAATAAAGATAACTGTTCCAGTAATGATAAAGATGACGATCCCGCATCTATGGAAACTGTAAATAAAGATATCTGTTCCAATGAATACAAAGATGATATCTTGCTTCAACGGAAACCTGTAAATAAAGATATGTGAAAACTTGCTGCGGTCAGGTACGTGAAAGGCACATGGTTGATTGATTTTTGGCATGTTTAACAATCAATGCAAAAGCGGTCAATCCCTAGTTGAAAAAAGAGTACTTTATTCTCAGCTCATACCCATTCCACTCTGGATAATATGCCACTGCATTGTTTTCATTCACAATTCAGCTGTGTAGGTTTTCTTTCAATCTTGGCACTGGTTATTCATTAATAACATTTTGGTTGCTTCTTTTCTTCTTTTTTTTTCCCATTAAACTTGGTTAATTAGTTTATGATGCATTTTAATCACTGATTCCGCAATTCATACTAGCACAGCTTACGTTCATTTCTATAGCTTGTTTTACGATTTATTTTAAAAACACAGTAGCTAAATGATTTTGGTGTGAAATAAAATTTTGAAATTTTTCTTTTCATTTTGTGTTTTTTGTGTACAGCTGTAGATGTCAACATATCATTTTCTTTTTGCAAAGTGGCAAATTCATTTTAATATAAGTTTATTAACCAATTAGTAATTATATAAGTCAATTGTGACATCATTTTTCCTTTAGTGTCCTATATATGAGAGGGCAATAATTACTCACTAATGTAGTGACAGCTGCTATAGTGCTCTAACATGAGAAATAATGAAATTAGATGTCTCCCTGTACCTCCAGGCTAAACTGGGTTCCAGTTCCTAAACTTTGTCTTAATCAGTAAAAAAGCTGAAAAAAATCGATTTTGGCACCAATGGCGTTCCATATTACCTATTTGCTTGGCATTTCAAAAAAGTTTCTCGACATAAACTGATACTGGTGGCGCTTTCCGAAAAGTGCCAATCACTACGAAAAATCAATAAATTAGAGACTTGTGGCAAGTCTACCTCTAGGCTTACAAGGAGGATTGTGGCTTCTATCTACACTGGGGTATCGGGGTTGTAGGGTCTCAGATTGGTACAGGGTGAACCAGCGTTTGACATTTTAAGGGGGTATTTTGATGTTTTATTTACATGTTTGGCTACCTAAAGGGACATGCTTGGCCATATGGTTGCCCATAGTCCTTGTTAAAAGGAAAAAAATGCTGATTATTATCCCGGTACTAATGAGTATTTATATTGTGTCTTTCCCTTGCGGTTATGAAGTCCAGGGCTCTGGTGTAAAAAATACAACCATGCTCTACAAAGCTATGCATATAACTTACTGTTTCTGGAATCTTGACATAGTGGGGGATAGAGCCATAACATTTTAACAGGTTAAATATAAAATTGTTGCTTTAAAATATATGTAATTCTTTGATGTATAAATCGATATATCAATAATATTAAGTAATAAAATCACTGAAATTATATTGACATTTTAATTTGATTTTATTACTTAATATTAATATATGAAAATAAATCATATTAAAATGTCAATTGATATTCAACAATATGAAATATCAATAAATACATCCTGATTAATCAATATACTAATATAAATCAATATAGAAATGGCAATCAATGTACCAGTATTAACCAATATATACATATCAGCCAATATACCAACAATATCATGGAATATGTTAATATAAATCAATATACATATCTTGATTAATTTATCATTCAACATGCCAGTACATTATAAACGAATATACAAATATCAATATAAAATTATCAACCAATATAGCTTATCAATCGATTGATTGATGTAAATCAATTTTTGAAATATAAATCAATATTAACCAATACTTATATTATTCAATATACCAATATCAATGAATATATGTATCAACAAATATTTCAATATCAACCACTAATAAATAGGTAATGTTCTTCCATTTATATACAGTAGTGCATACTACAGTACTATGCGCTCTCAATTCCAGTGTAAATATTGATATTGAACTGATTGTATCATAAAATATTTTTTAACTGAATTTGCATGAATTTGTAATGTGTACATTGGACTTGCAGTAGTTGCTTATTCAGTACATTTTAATTTATTCCTCTTAAAGCACTCATCTAAATTAAAATTGTAACGAGTTGCTCTATGTTGCAAGAAGGCTACTAATATCACCAATGTCAAAATTAAAGCGAGTAAAAAAATTATTCATATTATGTTCAATTGATTTTTTTAAGACACAAAAAGGATGTTTGATGTTTTACTTTATTGGATTCACAGAATATAGTGAACAATATTATATGAAAATGGCCTCATATACCTAAATGATCAATAGTGTTTTATGTAGTGTATTTTTGTTACTTTCAAGAAACTCCTGGCACACCAATTATCAACGCTCCCCGAGGCTTTTACAAAGACAACTATGAAGACATACCATCCAGCTCAGATGAGAATGAGGATACCAATCTTGATAAACAAATTTTTCCCCAAAAAACAATCATCAGAGAAAATTCACAAGCCCCTCTTGTAGATAATGCAGTATCGCTTGATGAAACACGAGCTCTGGATAACGGCTATGCTGACGAAAGTGCTGGCAATAATGGAGTAACAGAAACAATCCAAACAATTTCCTCTGGCATAGGTATAAATCCAAATTACAAGTCATCTAGCTCAGACGATGGCAAGAAGCCAGGTATCCAGAAAAAGCGAGTTTCACGTGGTAAACGAAATCCTGCGTACAAACTAGCACCAATTAAGAAACCAAATTCTCACGGCCATTTTGTAAAAAAATCAGAGCGAGCTCAAGATATTGGCCATGCAAATGTCGAAATACCTCTTGATAAAACAAAATTATAGGCCACAGGCCATGCTCCCCCCCCCCCACTCCAGCAAGACCACCATTGTTTTAAGGCCTACATGATTACTTAACAAAACTGTGATGTTCACGTCAACTATTAAAAGCATCTATAGCCATAATATGCACCTGTGGAACATGCAATTACTATTCAGTCTCGGCGACGTCTTTCGATGAGCTTTATCGAGAGTTTTTAACTGCTGATAATGTGATATAGAAACTTATTTACACCAATTTCAAACAAGTCTTCAAAAAATAACTTATAGATTTGACCAGGCTTATTTTATACCTTGTTTAGCCAATAATGATTTCAAATAAAAATAAAATTTCATTTTTGGCAAATTAGGACACTTGCCACCATGAAAAAATGGAAATTTCTTTAAAAAAATAAAATCTTTTCTTATTTTTATTACACCTGCAACTGCCTTCAAATCTCAAAAAATCAGATATGTAAATTTCCTTCCTAATTATATAAATTTAAAGCATTTAACCATCCCATTACTACACTGTTTACATTCAACAATAACATTTTATTTTTATTTTCTTTTGGATGTTTTTGACAAATCTATTTGTCAAAATTTTCTATATAAGAAAACAAAATTTTATTTATTTTTTTTTGCCCTCTGACAATCTTTTAAAAAATAAGTTTTAAGAATTATAAGAAACAAGTTATAAAAAAAAAAGTCTCGCCTAGTTTCATGTGATGTGTTTTTGCCCATATATGGATATTATGTTTTCATATCAAACACGTAGAAGCATTGAATCTGCCACTGATTGTAAACATGTTCCAATCTGTATTACATAGGTAATTCTTCACATTTACCACTCCACAATGTTAAACCTTATTATTAATAATATACAGATGTATCATGTTAAAGGAAAAATATTAGTTTTGTGTTTATTAGTATTATCAACTAATATCATATCTTGGTTTTCTAGTTTAATGCATTCCATTTAATACAAGTTCATTATAACGATAAACAGGCCTAACAAACCACTCAGAAATCCATTTAAGGAATCATATAGTATACAAATATTGACTGCTCATGAGGGGAATGGTGAAATCTATTGCCCTGAGGTGATGTGGAAACCGTACCTTCCCGAGGGATGAGAGGCTACAGTCTCCACATCACAGAGGGGCTATAGATTTCACTGTTCCCCAAATCTAGAGCAGTCAATATTTGTTTTATATACCTCATACATAGATTCTACGAGACCTAACAAAGTAATGAAAATAGTACACGCCAAGTAGTTCTAGGCTTACTTCTTAGGCCTAAGATTGAAATTGCCAATCTCTCTCAGCGTCATACAGGTTGCGTGTCCTTTACTGTTCATGCGTTTCATTTAATTTTCATTTCATTTATTTATTCAGACAAGTGTCTTGCGCCCCAAAAGCAACAAAATCACCATGACAAAAGTCTGGAGCCCCAGAGAAAAAAAAAGCTCATGAGCAGTAAAATGGTACTCATTCATTCGTGTGTCAAATTACATAGCAACGCAGCCTAAAGATTGCACATCGCGTGGCAGGGCAAAAAAAATACTATCACATAGGAGATAGTAGTTTCTATTGCCTGCTTCTTAACCAATCAGATGCCTAGAATCTATGTATGCGGTGTATAATACTGTAGGTTATATATGAGTATTCAGAATATATTACGGTCTTAAAATTAATTATTGCAAAAGCAGTCATCTATTGCTCTACCTAATAGACATCAAAGTTCAGTTTTTGATGATGTAATGCATTAATTATAATTTTTTGTTGATTAGAAATAAATTTTCATATTTCAGCTTAATGTGTATAGTAAATGATTGATTGATTAAGCAGAATACTAAACAAGATTTTCTAAAAATAAATGTTCTGGAACTTAACCTAATATTTCCATATTAAATAATGCAGTGTTATCAGATAGGCTTTTGTACAAGTCATGGTACCGCTTCAATTCAATTTGATAGTAAGCACTGCCCTTCTAAAAGCTGCAGGCAGGGGTTGCGCCAGTGGGTGGGGGTGGGGGGAGGTCGTGCCACACCTCTATAGAGAAGCCCATGATAAATGCACTGCAACAAATTTTCAATCACAGTACATTAATAAGAGCTATGGAGATTTAGGTCTGTCTGTAAATTGATATTCAAGTTTATTACCTGAAAACAAAATAGGGGAACTCCCTTTGCTATAACAACCATGATGCTGACTTTACAAATCTATAAAGTATACTTTATAGATTTGAACTGCGCTGTTGGTCTCATTGTGATAGTATAGAGCGACATACTATAGAATTAAAATTTCACAGGAAAGGGATATGTTAATGTGACATTTACATGGAAATAATAGAATACAGAGAATTATGGCTATTTCAGTAGCATTAACATAACAGCTTGGTTCTGTTTTTTGGGATACTGAATATGAACTTCCTCATTGGCAAAAAAAATAAAATAAAACTAACAAAATATTCATGCAATATTTATTTTTTTCATTAAAATGGATTGCTACTTATATTATTATTTTAGTTACTTAACAATGCAGTGGTGGGTGTGGCAAGGGAATTTACCACCATGAGTTTCATCCTTGAACCCCGACCTCTGTTGGACTACTGCAATGTACAAAATCTTTAAATAAGATGAAAACAAATAAATTTGTACAATTTAAAGAAAATATTTTTATAGATAAATATAACCAGTTTAAAAAGTATATATTATGTATATATTAATTTTTGATTTGAAACTATTAATATTAAAAAGATTATATAAGAATAATAAATATGATTTGCAGTGAGTGGTTTTGCCACATATTTTTAAATTTTATTTTTATTCTGGTATATAGTAAAATACAAAAAGCAGAACCAGTCTGAAATTATTTATACAAATACAAATATATAAATTCATACAGTATAAAAGTTTATATTTACAACCACTTTAAAAAAATAAGCTACTTAATTATTAATTAGGTCAATATCATTTATATTCATTATTGCAATTATTATTAATTATAATTATTTGTGTTGCTGATATAAAAATATATATCACCTGTAAAAAGTTACTCATTTAAATATGAAAGTATTCTACAGAGCCATGCACTTAATTTTCATAAAATCCTGTACATTATTGAAAATGGTGTAATAAAAACATTTTCAGTTAATATTCATTGGTATTTCTTATTTTTAGTTGCTTTATATAAAAATAAATGATTGTTGTTTTTGGAGTGGCCATGGGTTAAGGCAGGGGCACTGCTAACGATAGCCTTAACTCCGGCACTGGTTCTAGCTGCTCTTTGTCCTAGAAGCAAGTCTTAACAAAATAGTTTTGGTACACCGTGTAAGAATGTGGTTTTGAGGTAAAAAGCACTGGTTGATTGTCAAAATGTTTCAGTGAGATTGCTCTGACCATCATCAGGGGAGAGATGTACCAAGTCCAAGACTTAAAACGGGAAGTCTGGTGTACACATTACGCACTTTAAAGAACCACATGTATCTTTCAGAAGAGTAGAGGGTAACTGCGATGCTATGGTCCATTTCAGCCCCTGTCATTGTGGAGTGATGTGAGCATCAAGCTCTGTGCCCATCTACAGCAGTTTAAGTAGTCACAGACCAAGTCCAGTCTAGTTCAGCAAAATGATGCTGCAAGCTTTCCTAGGAAAGCTTTTGCTGATGAAAAAATTTTATGGCGAGTGGAGTGGCCGAATGGTAAGGCAGGGGTGCCGCTAGCTACAGCCTTAACATCGGCGCTGGTTCCAGTCGCTCCTCGCCTATGGTTCGGTCGGTAGAACGAAATCTTCTCAGATAAGGACTGAAAATGGAGGTCCAGTGTATACATCTGGCTTGTGTGCACTTTAAAGAAACCATTTGCATCTTTCAGAAGAGTGGGGGGGGGGGGGGGGGAGGGGGGGGGTTTACCCTGATGTTATGGTTCCTTTCAGCCTGTGTCGTCATGGAATGATGTGAACATGTATCTACCATGAAGCGTCTTTTTTACGGCTGCTAGGTAGTCGCGGATCACGCCCATACGCAATGCAGCACAATGTCCTTGTACGACGACGTGGGTGCCGTTCACCATGCTCCGCATCTCTAACAAGCGTGTTCTTTATTAGCATATCTTCCTCAAGAATTTTAAGGAGGGTCAGATGCACTCTTCTTACTTTCATTTTTTCCAGAAGAGCACTTCGAGGCTTGTTCGTCACTTCTTATGTCATATGCCCAGTCAAACCAATGCAGCTTGTTTGTCACTTCTTATGTCATGCCCAGTCAAACCAATGCAGCTTGTTCGTCACTTCTTATGTCATGCCCAGTCAAACCAATGCAGCTTGTTCGTCACTTCTTATGTCATGCCCAGTCAAACCAATGCGGCATTTTCAACAATAATAATAAACTTAATGATTAATATAAAGTTAAATTCTTTTTGGAAAATGTATAAAAAAAAATATTCAGAATATCAAGGGTGAATTCACACCAAATCCAAAGGCCTAGCGATCAGTGTGTAAAATGAATATTTCAGTTCGGATAATGCAGCTTATTGCTGGTAAATGCTTGTATTGTTTGTTTAAAATGAAGTTAAGTGCTAATATGCAAGTCATTTCCATTCGACACATTGATTCAGAATTTTAAAAATTTCTTTATTGAGCTTGTTACACAAATTCTAACACATTTCAATTTCAGACATTTGGTTATTAATATTGAACATAACATAGTCATAACAACAATTAAAATTCAATAAACATTTAAATAATCTTAAAATGAATACAACAGCCTTTAAAATTCATCAAATTTGTTTAACATCAAATGTTATATTACAAAACATTTTTTACAATTATAACTTTTTATAATGAAAATGCCCTGCCAGGCAACTACCAATTCGAAATTTGTATAATGCCACAGCTGCATTATGTGACGAGGTAAAATACTGTAATGCAAGTCTTGTACAAAACAGTGTAAGTTGTAAATAATAAGCTACCAGAGGACCTATCAATAAAGGGTATTGATCAGACTACATGAACAGTTTAACAATAGAACAATCCACATGGATCAATTGATATTCATAAATGCATTAATATAAACCCTAACTTTATTGATCTCTAATATGTCAGCTGAGTAATGCACTATGTACTATTTATTAAATTACATTTCAACAATTTATATTTAAAAAATACAGTAATTCATATCCATTAAAAACTGTTAAAAAATCATTTTAACTTTATTAAAATATTGTACAAAAGAATATTTTTAAAAATGTAAAATTCAATTCATTATTCTTTATTACACGACACAACCCCAGCCTCATGAAATTAACAGAGGTTAATACACTTTCCCCATTTATTTTTTTCGCATTATTGTAAACCAAACAAAGAGGTTTTATATATTTATACTTGCGTGTCTCGGAGAGCATACAATACATCATCTTGGCTGATATTCAGTCGGATTCGTTGATGAATATCTTGACGGCCATTTTCTACTAAGAGTAGACGACAACTAGCGAGGTGAAAACACAGGGTTGCTAGTTCCGATG